TATATATATATATATATATATATATATATATAAGTATGAGCATGTAAATTCTCCAGTTTTACAAGCTGTATGTATTTCCAGTTTTAAAACAAGATATTCTGAAGAATATTTCCATTTCATTTCTCATTAAAATCTTTGTTGATTGTTTTTAACTTAGCAAAGTTTTGAATGACTTTCCAAAATCAAACTCAAATTAAACCAGAATAAAGAAACAGACATACAGTAGACAGTTGTTTGTTGATGGCCAAGTTTTGTCTTTTACAGAAATTCCTTCCATCATTCTCAGAAAACGATCAAGAAGAAAAGAAAGATATACTTAGGTTTGTAGTGTGCAAGGCTTCCTTGTTAGGTTATTCAGGTTCTACAGAAGTAGTTAGTACCTCAGTTTAGTGTTTCATTACTTTATCTAGTTGAAGTCCTATAAACTGGAATATTATTTTAGTATTACACAAATTAAAGTAGTTACTACCCCAGTTAACTGTTTCATTACTTTATCTAGTTGAAGTCTTAGAAAGTGATATATTATTTTTAGTATTACACATCCAGTATTACACAAATTATACACCACATGACTAGGCACCAATAAATCAGATTTTTAAATTTTCGTTTTAAAAATATCAGTAACAAATGTGTAAACTATGACACCAAACAGTGATACGTCTATGTAAAATGTATAAAGAATCTAGCAGTGAACGGCAAACTTCACTTTCATCTATTAACGCACACACTTCTGACTGTCTATAAGTTTATCTGCTACTAATAACACACACACGCACACACTTCTGACTGTCTATAAGTTTATCTGCTACTAATAACACACACACACACACTCCTGACTGTCTATAAGTTTATCTGCTACTGATAACACACACACCACACACACTTCTGACTGTCTATAGATTTATCTGCTACTGATAACACACACACACACACTCCTGACTGTCTATAAGTTTATCTGCTACTGATAACACACACACTTCTGACTGTCTATAAGTTTATCTGCTACTGATAACACACACACACTCCTGACTGTCTACAAGTTTATCTGCTACTGATAACACACACACTCCTGACTGTCTACAAGTTTATCTGCTACTGATAACACACACACTCCTGACTGTCTACAAGTTTATCTGCTACTGATAACATGCACATTCCTGACTGTCTACAAGTTTATCTGCTACTGAAAATCCTGCTACTATAGAGTACTAAATTATCTTTACAAAGTAATTGCTTTCCTTGTACATCAAGATTTTGATTTTGAGATTTTTATCTTTTGCTGAAATGCTATTAGTTTCACTTTATTCTTGTGTTTTCTTCTTGTTGTCACAAGAGAAATTTGAGGTGAAGTATTCTTAAAACATTTATTACTATATGATTTTATGATGTTTAACTGTAAGTGAATAGTATATAATTCATAATGTGCATGCCAGTACTTTGTAGGGTCAACAAACTATAAAACTTTTTAAGTACTTCTTATATTTCTGTGATGTTTTGAATTTGTGAAATGCTAGAAGCAGTTATCATCATTTCTGGAAATCAAAAGTGCATCCCGAGTCTCACTTCTAAGCTTGCATCTCTTTCACAACAGTAAGCTAAGTGAGCTTAGCATTTGAGAGGTTATTTTATTTTGAACTCCTTCATCTTGTTGATAAGAACTGAAAACTGTGATCTGTACTATTTTACTTTGATTGTGTTTTTTTTCAAGCTTTAAAAATTGTGATATTTGTCTAGTTTCATGTTTTCAGAGCTAGAAATCTAATGATAAAACTTCATGATCTTGTGTTTGTTGTGTTCACTGTTTGACGTGTGTGTTGTTGTGTTTACTGTTTGACGTGTGTGTTATGCAAGACTGTATACTGTTTGGCATGTGTGTTGTTATGCAAGACAGTGTATACTGTTTGACGTGTGTGTTGTTATGCAAGACAGTGTTCACTGTTTGACGTGTGTGTTGTTATGCAAGACTGTATACTGTTTGGCATGTGTGTTGTTATGCAAGACAGTGTAAACTGTTTGACGTGTATGTTATGCAAACAGTGTATACTGTTTGACGTGTGTTGTCATGCAAGACTGTATACTGTTTGGCATGTGTGTTGTTATGCAAGACAGTGTATACTGTTTGACTGTTTGTGTTGTTATGCAAGACAGTGTATACTGTTTGACATGTGTGTTGTTATGCAAACAGTGTATACTGTGTGTTGTTATGCAAGACAGTGTATACTGTTTGACGTGTGTTGTTATGCAAGACTGTATACTGTTTGACGTGTGTTGTTATGCAAGACTGTATACTGTTTGACGTTTGTGTTGTTATGCAAGACAGTGTATACTGTTTGACATGTGTGTTGTTATGCAAACAGTGTATACTGTTTGACGTGTGTGCTTTTATGCAAGACAGTGTATACTGTTTGACATGTGTATTGTTATGCAAACAGTGTATACTGTCTGACGTGTGTGTTGTTGTGTTTACTGTTTAACGTATGTGTTGTTATGCAAGACAGTGTATACTGTTTGATGTGTGTGTTGTTATGCAAGACTGTATACTGTTTGACTTGTGTGCTGTTATGCTATACTGTTTGATGTATGTGTTGTTGTGTTTACTGTTTAACGTATGTGTTGTTATGCAAGACAGTTTATACTGTTTGATGTGTGTGTTGTTATGCAAGACTGTATACTGTTTGACTTGTGTGCTGTTATGCAAGACAGTGTATGCTGTTTGACGTGTGTGTTGTTATGCAAGACAGTGTATACTGTTTGACGTGTATGTTGTTATGCAAAAAGTGTATACTGTTTGACTTGTGCATCATAGGGTATACTTGTTCTGTGGAACTACCTGCAACCCATTATAGTGCTCGGATGAATGCTTGTTTGAATTTTCTTTTTAATTGAAAAAGTGTGAATGCTTATTCATCAGTGTTCCTAAGTCTTCAGTTTGTTGACATCATGTTATTGTGCTTGTAAGACTGATTTCCTGCTATAATTTCTGTGTCCAAATTATTGAGCTTTTGCTATACAGTTTTCTTTAGAAACTTGTTACTGACTCTGAGCAACTTGTCTCCTGCATTGTTTTATAATGTGGTTTAACATTTTATTGTCCCAGTCATCCATGATGGTTTACCTACAACTGTTAATCGTTTTGCAAGCTACCAGTGGTTCAGCATTATTATCAGTTACAGTTCATGTTTACAGTGAACCTTACAATTAATTTATTATCAGTTACAGTTCATGTTTACAGTGAACCTTACAATTAATTTATTATCAGTTATAGTTCATACTTACAATGAACCTTACAATTAATTTATTATCAGTTGCAGTTCATGCTTACAGTGAACCTTACAATTAATTTATTATCAGTTACAGTTCATACTTACAGTGAACCTTACAATTAATTTATTATCAGTTACAGTTCATACTAACAGTGAACCTTACAATTAATTTATTATCAGTTACAGTTCATGTTTACAGTGAACCTTACAATTAATTTATTATCAGTTACAGTTCATACTTACAGTGAACCTTACAATTAATTTATTATCAGTTACAGTTTATACTTACAGTGAACCTCTCTTGTCCTGGGAGAGGTTATATCTGGAACTGAAGCAAGGCAAGGTTATCTAGCTTTGTTGTACACACACAAACTAGGCATATGGGAATGAAGTTGATTGTAACTTGTATGTTCAGTGCAGTCTTATCTACTTTAAGGAAAAATTTAAGGCACTTATTTTTAATAGAAAGTTTTCAATCCTTTTCTCCATCTGTTTACAAAAATACTTGCTCTGTGTAACTTGTTTCAGAAGTGTCATTAGTTATTATTACTTCTTCTAGTTCTAGTTTGAAGTCATAATAAATAATTTACATTATAGTTTTATACTTTTGTCTTTATTCTAACTGGGGTGAGTGAAAACTTATATTGAATTTATGATATTGAATGATATTGAAAAAGGTTTAGAAGCACTGCATTAGGTGATACAGTATATTAAAATGTCTTGCATAATATATGTATCTGACTATATCCTATATCATGCTGTGGCTTGGTTTTTTACTTAACAAACACTTATTGAGTAAATCCAGTTATTATTATTAGTTTAATGTAGTTGTCTGAATAATGTATAATTTATAAAATGTATATATAGATATATACATAATATACCTCTACTCCATAGGAAACTTTTTGATGGAGAAAACTTCAAGTTTGGTAACCCATTAAGAAAGTTCTTCAAGAAGCTCAATGGTGAGGAATTAGAAGAATAATCTTCAATATTAGAGCTTTTAATCATTTTTTGTCTAATAAAATCAATGATGTATTATTAAGTGTGATAACTAAATTTTAGCTTAAAAAGTGGTTTTTTTACCCCTCTGTGCCCGAGCATCATTTACTGTGCATTTCATAAAGTTTTAGTGACTTACATTCAAAATTTTTATTAAACTACTTTTTGTTTACGTTATACCAATTACTGTAGCATAAAATCATAGCTAATAATCCATATTTTAATAGTATATAAGTTTTAAGTTCTTAATTTTATAAGGCAATATTTTAAGAAATCCTGGATTTTCCCTAGTGGGATAAATGTGACATATTTTCTCTTTATATCTCCTCTTCTCTATCATATTCACCACCTCTCCAATAAGTATGAAATTTAACGTAAATTACTCACTATAAAATCGTCATCGCTTAGACAATTGGTTACAGAGCTATCAAATAAATTGACCAACCTTGTATAGAGTTAGGGTAGAGAAAATAACAGACAAAATATAAAGTTTTACTGAAAACAAACATTTGAAATGTATTTAGGAGGATTTAGAGATTACACAAATGAAATTTGAGATTTTTAAGATGAAGAAAAATATTTTTAATTTTAACATGAAAATCACTTTGCACTAGGACTAGCTAAAAAATATTTCATATATTCACAGACAAATCTTTTTTTAGTTTATTAAAAAGACTTATAATGTTTACTGAAAGTGTATCAAATTTTGTGAAGACATACATACTATATTAAAAAGTAGTAGTATCAAGACTATGAAGACTTTAAATGAGTACAAAGAGTTCATGTGGTCGGTCAAATCATCCAAGCCCACGTTGAGAGAGTAAATAACCAACTTGGATAATTTAGTCTTGATATGTAACTGTTCCTCTGAAGATAATGAAATTGTGAATATTACAACCAAAAAAAAAAACTTATTTGGTATGCAAGAAACAGGCATTTGTTTACATACATTTAGAGGTAGTATTTTATGAGTTGTACTATCAGGAAATTTGACATTCAGTTTCTAGTTATTGTATTTTCTGGTTCTAGATGGTGTAATGGCCCCCGATGTAGCCAAGATGACAGCACTTCTTCGGAAAGCAACATATAGGGAGTACAGATATCAACAACAACAGTATTACTGTCGGCTTTTACAAGAAATTCTCATATCTAGAAAAGTAAGTAGTTTTTCTTTTCATATTTTTCTTCGCTGATTCCTTTTTTTTTTAAACTATTCCTCAAAATATTTCAGCAACGTTAATTAATTTTCAACAGTTTATAGCAGTAGAACATATGCAAATTATCTTGAAAACTTTAAATGCATAGTAATTTTGTGTTTTTGATGTAAACTGATCTGAACTTGGGTATTAAAAGATAAGTGTGGAATATTTAATCAATAAACACACAAAAAATAATATATTATGAACATATTATTTTAGTTTCATTACTTTTTATAATAGTATTTGTTCTTATGAAATATATAAGTGTATGTACTTTGGTTATTTGCATCTTTTTTTTTTGTTATTCTGCAAAGCAATCGGTATAAGAAAAAAATACTAAATGTTAAAGATGGCCTAAAATTTGTATTGATTCCTTTGTTGTTGTTTAGCACAGTTGGCAATTACGGCTGCATTCACAAACCCTAAATTTTAGCATTATTAGCCCACAAGCTTATAAATTAGTCACTGGAGGAGGGGTAAAATTTTGTGTCAAAAATTTACACGAAACTATTAGTCACAAGAGAAAAAATTTTGAGTGTAATTTTGAACGTACTATGTGTACCTACACAGAATGAGGCAAGCTTTTAGTAAATTGTACTAGTCTGTTGGACACAAAAAAATCAGATGTGTTACAATGGTATTTGTACTGAAGATATCAATCTGACTCGGACTGTGACAAGTTGAAATGCAGAGTGAAGGTCACGTGAAGAATAAAAATACTTTTGTCCGCTGTACTGTATGCATTTCCATAACTTCTGGAATGTAGTTTTTGTCAGTATTCCTGTACATTCTATCACAAACTATGTAATGTGGGATGAAATGAATAGTTGATAACTATGTTGAATGGCATTCTTTAAAAGGTTATGGTTTGACCCCTACCCATGAATGGCACTCTTTAAAAGGTTATGGTTTGACCCCTACCCATTAATGGCACTTTTTAAAAGGTTATGGTTTGACCCCTACCCATGAATGGCACTCTTTAAAAGGTTATGGTTTGACCCACACCCATGAATGGCACTTTTTAAAAGGTTGTGGTTTGACCCCCACCCATGAATGGCACTTTTTACAAGGTTGTGTTTTGCCCCTCACCCATGAATGTCACTCTTTAAAAGGTTATGGTTTGACCCCCACCCATGAATGGCACTTTTTAAAAGGTTGTGTTTTGCCCCCACCCATGAATGACACTTTTTAAAAGGTTGTGTTTTGCCACCACCCATGAATGGCACTTTTTTGCAAGGTTGTGTTTTGCACATAGGGATAAAGAAATGATGACATAAAGTTTTCTTCATTTGTTGATATAAGCAAAGCTAGTGAAGTTGCTTTACACCATGGTCTTTACCAGCTTTAGCCTTGTTTTATTAACAAGTGTCATATAGCCTGTTATGCATTGTTCAGTGTATTTACAGAGCTAGCATAATTGTGAGTGATCAATAAGTTTTTTTCTGAAGTATGTGATTATAAATACATTGTTAGACAAATGTATTTACATACTTTATCTACTGTACATTAACATGCAGGTACAGTCCATCAATATCAGTACAGTTGTATGTGGGACTTTAAGCCAGCAAATGGTGGTTGTACTTGATCTTGCAAACAGTAACAGATGAAATTTTTAAGAACAAAATTAGTTGTTGAGTAAAAAATTTCCATTTTGTGAAAATGTGCCAAAAGTAAGGAAAACAGTTAAATATGTAAGTAGAAATTTTTTAGCCACATAAACATCAGAATTTCTCTCTATTTTATATGAAGTTTTTATTTTCTTCATCTTACTAATCCAGAAATTACTTGATGCTGCATCTGTACTGCCACCTCATCAACATGTTAAAATAGAACAGTTCACACCCAAGACAAGAGATCCAACTCTTGAGGATCGAACAAAGTGGAGATACTTCAGTGAACTTCAGTCAGTTCGAGAAGAATGTGGAGAGCTGGATACTTCTTCAGAAGATGAAAACTATCCAGGTACCATTAAATAATTTACTTTAAAAAAGGTTTCATTTTTTGTTATTCATGTCAATAAAATCTTGCAAATAATCACTTATTGACCTTTTTGTTGGCAGTTCAACATTTTCAGTATGATCTGGTATAATAAATAAGTTTACTTATCAGTGCTTACATACTCTAAATATTTAATACCATATTTGCCCGAATATAATGCACACTTTTTTTTTCTCCAAATATCTTCAGAAAAATTGACTGCACATTATATTCGTGCATGTTGGGTTTTATTAGGTATTTTACTAGAAGCTACCAACAAAAGTCATTAAAGCATCATTAAAGGTTTAAAAAAATGTTGCATATCCAATTCAATGGATGAAACAGATGATGACAAGCTGTGGTAATCAAAAGAGGATGAATCGAAGATTCAAGGAAACAAATCCGATGATAACGACAATTCTAGCAATGACAAAGATTTATGTGGAGATGAATGATTAGCTTAGTGTATTACCACGTATAAACTTTTCAGTAAATTCTGTAAAATTAACATGTAAAAATAATTTCAATAAAAGATTTCCAAAAATGTTTAATGCACTGATAGTTGCTTACTGTATTTAGAAATTATTCAATACATTTGGAGTGCATTATATGCGGGCAAATACGGTTCATAAGCTAGATCAGCCTTTAGCTTGTGCAGATGACGAACTTGAAGAGGAAAGGATAACAACAAAGATGGATAATTATGGGATTGAAAAAGAGGAGGTTATTGTCATAGCAGATTCTTTAGTATAACACATGTATAGGATGGTCTGTGGGGTAAATTAGATCATGCTGTTCAGGAACATAGGAGATTCTTTAGTATGACACATGGATAGGATGGTCTGTGGGGTAAATTAGATCATGCTGTTCAGGAACATAGGAGAATCTTTAGTATGACACATGGATAGGATGATCTGTGGGGTAAATTAGGTCATGCTGTTCAGGAACATAGGTGATTCTTTAGTATGACACATGGATAGGATGATCTGTGGGGTAAATTAGATCATGCTGTTCAGGAACATAGGTGAAGTGTATAACTGACAGAGCAAGTTAGATTGTAAAGAATGCTAATGTAGCAGTGATGCAGTATTTATAGTGTACATGGGGCTAATGATGTAGAGAAACATAGGTAAGAGGAACTTATTGTTAATTACAAGGCATTTCGAAGGAAGTGACCATAATAAATTAATTCTGTCAGGAATAATACCAAGACTTAACACTGCACATGAGATCACTAGGGCTGAATATTAGGCTTAGATTAATATGCGAGGAAGAGAATGCTGGCTGGTTGAATATGTGAGGTCAATTCTATGGGAAAAGGGAGCTTTTTTGAATGGATAGTTTAAACTTAATTAGGGGCCTAGTATAGCCTGATGGTTAGGGTGCTCGACTCTAGTCTCCAGGTCACAGGTTTGAATCCCCAACACCAAACATACTTACCCTTTTTAGCCACGGGCGTGTTATAATGTAACAGTCAATCCCACTAGTTGTTGATAAAAGAGTTGGCAGTGAGTGGTTCTAACTATCTGCCTTCCATCTAGTCTATCACTGCCAGTTAAGGATGGCTAGAACAGATAGCCCTTGTGTAGCTTTGCATGAAATTCAAAACAAAACAAACATTTAAATAGGGTAGGGGTGAGCTTGAATCAAGTAGCTATTAACTCAACTCTGAGAGTAACTTTAAACTAGGCAGTAGAGAGGACTAAAACAGTGATGAAAAACTAAGACATAGAGAGGAGTATATTGTGGGAACAAGGTACAATGGTAGTTTTACGCTAAACTAATGTTATTGTAATGCTAGAAGTACAAAAAATAAAATGAATGACTTTAGAGTGCTGGTCACAACAGGATTTTGGTATAATGGGAATAACTTAAAGGGGGAGGAGTGGCATTGTATGTATAATGTGAGTTACAGCCTGTTCAAGTTCACGATATCAAAGCTAATAATACTGAGACTGAATCTATTTGGGTTTCTATTGGTAGTAATAATGGGTTATAGCCTGTTCAAGTTCACGATATCAAAGCTAATAACACTGAAACTGAATCTATTTGGGTTTCTATTGGTAGTAATAAGGGGGTGAAGATTTTTGTTGGAATTTGTTACAGACCACCAGATGAAACTGATAAAATTATTGAGAAACTATAGACTGAAATAGAGAATTCAACTATTAAAGAGATCATAATTGTGGGAGATTTTAATTTTAGGCATATAGATTGGAAAATGTTAAAATCAAGTCATGAAGGAGTCAGGTTTTTAGAAACTGTTCAGGATGGTTTTCTTTGCCAGTTGGTTAGGGTACCTACTAGAAATAGTGGTATTCTAGGTTTATTGTTAACATCTAATAAAGAAATGATTGATAGGTTAGAGATTGTGGAACATCTGGATGCAAGTGACCATTGCTTAATTAGATTTGATGTTTTGCTGCACATTGAGATAAAGGAATATTGAGATTTTGGTTCTGAACTTCAGAAAATCAAATTTTGAAGAGATGAGACAAGAATTGTCTACTGTGAATTGGGCAACTGCATTAGTTGGAGATACTGATAAAATGTGAAAAAATTTTAAAAACAAAGTCTTAAATAGTTAAGTTAGGCATGTTCCTTATAGACAAAAAAGGGTGGCTGCAAATAAAAAACCAGGTTGGCTTACAAAGGTTATAAAAGATAGCACTAAAGAAAAATATTTTAAATATAAAAAGTTTAAATTGACTGCAAGGATGAGAGATTTGGAGGATTGTAGAAGATCATAAGAGTTGGTCAAATAGGAAATTTGAACAACAACAACAACAAAAACATAGGGCAAAAGGTTCGCTGAAAATGTAAAACTTAATAGTAAGGATTTATTCAAATACATTAAGGGTAAGCAAGATGTTAGGATTGGAGTAGGGTCTTTGAGGGATGATACAAGAAGGTTAATATCTGATGATTATGGGATGTCTGGGTTATTAAATTTTGTGATTTACATTCAAAATTTAATTAAACTATCTTTCTTTTCATGGTATACCAATAAATATAGCATAAAGACATAGCTAATACTCCATACCTTAATAGTATATAACTTTAAGTTCTTACTTTTATAAGGTAATATAAAAAAGATCTAGAATGTCCCCTAGTGTGAGAATTTTGACATCTCTAGGCATTCCTTCTTCTCTAATTTATTTACCCCCCTCCAAAAAGGACGAAATTTAACATAAATTACTTATTATAATGTCATAGCCTTCAATGTTATTTGTTTACAGAGCCATGAAATAGACAGCCGGATCCCTCTTACCACACCCGCCTGTCACATCCTCTCTTTCAGAAATTGCCAATAGTTCTCCCTGATGTTAATATTATATTATTTATATTCAGTAGAAAGCCAAGGTTTTCATCTATCATATTACGTATTATATTATGTTGTTTTCTGTAATGAGAATTGTTAATTTCACTTTCAGTTCAAGCTTGATTCCCACAAGAAAGCACATCAAAGAGCTTAGATGAAGTTTTAACAGCTCTTGTCACATGATTAGAAAGCCAGAAAAATTGTGATAGCTATGAGACATTCTCTGTTTTTTGCACATTATTATCCTATGGTTTTTTTTTGCATTACTTAATTTGGAAAAAAATTATTTAGTGTAGTATTACCATTATTATAAAAAAGTAGGGTTAAGTGTCAACAGCAAAAAAAAAAGATCCAGGTAGGTATTTTTTCTTGTTTTTCATGTGTATTTTTTATTTATTATTATACAAGTAACTAGAATGTAAAAATAGGAAACTTTTTATGTTATTTAAGGTGAAATAGATGATAATAATAATAAAATGTTTCAAGAAGTAGGCTCGTGAACAACTTGTGCTTAATATAATTCAATAGTATAATGTGAGCTGTATGTTTGCCAAGTGATTTACAACTTGTAATGGTGCGAATAGTAGTTAGATAGGGTTAAAAAAGCAATAAAATATAAGTATAAATAGATGTATGCTGTTATCAGTTTAAAGCTATTTAGAATAAACAAGTGTTGTCTCATATTACAATTTGATGTCATTATAAAAAGAAAAAATGGTAATTTAGATTTTTCTTTTCATGGTTACAGTTACAAGGTCAGTCAATATGACCAGTCTTGTATAAAGTTAGGGTAGAAAAAAATAACAGATAAAATGTAAAGTTTTATGTGAAAAAGTTTGAAATTTATTTAGGTTTTAGAGATTGCACCAATAAGATTTGTGATTTTTGAAATGAAGTATTTTTTATCTTAACATGAAAATCTTCTTGCACTCGGACTAGTATATAGAAATACTATATATGTATATATATTCACAGAAAATTTTTTAGTAAAAATACTTCATTAAAAAATCTGATCTTTTGTGTACAAAAGACTTGTAATGTTTCCTAAGAGTCTACTAAATTTTGTGAAGATACACAAGGTGTATTGAAAGTTATAGTATGGAAACTATAATGTATACAAAATGGTAGCGAGAGAGTTAAGCACTATACCTCATCCTGACCAGTTTCTAGATGAAAACAAGATGGTCACATTAATTCTAAGAAAACAATGGGAAGTTTAAAGAATGATAAGGCTCCTGGGCCAGATAATATTTACCCAAGGGTTTTGAAAGTGGTTAAGGATTGGATATGTGATGTGAGTCATGTGCTATTATTTTTTTTAAGTCCCTGAATAGTAAGCAGGTATCAGAATATTGGAAGTTGGCTAGTTTTACTTCTATTTTCAGACAAGGTAATAAAAATTGTCCCAGTAACTATAGGCCTATTAATCTTACATCAGTTGTGGAAAGAATTTTTGAAAGTCTGATAAAAGATGCTTTGCAAAGTCATGTAACAAAATTTAAAATTTTGTTAGACAGTCAGCATAGTTTCACTAGGGAAAAATCTTGTCTTACTAATCTTTTAATGCTATTTGAAGAGGTTACTGCTTATTTAGGTGAGGATGCAGATGTGGATTTAGGGTATCTGGATTTCAGAAAGCATTTGATAAGGTTCCACATAAAAGGCTTGTTTAGACAAATTATCTCTGTAGGTGTGGATTATAGGTTGACTCATTGGATAGAAAACTGGCTGGATGGAAGAAAGAGGGTTGTTATAAATGGAGTTCAGTCAAACTGAATTAATGTCTCTAGTGGGGTACCTTTTTGCTCAGTGTTTAGACCCTTGCTCCTTGTGATTTACATCAACGACATAAATTAAGGAATGGTCAAGATATTACTTAAATATGCTGACTAAATTAAAGTTTTGGGTGTTGCTGGCTGTCAGGAAGATGCTGCTGCTTTACAAAAAGACTTGGATAATTTGGTGAGTTTGGCAATTAAATGGCAGATGATTTTTATTACAATAAATGTAAGTTTCATTATTCATCAGAGTAGAAACATAGCACTGTGAAGTGTACATGATTAAAAACAGTGAAATAGTACCTACAGTGTATTTGAAATTGTTCATCAGAGTAGAAACATAGCACTGTGAAGTGTACATGATAAGAAACAGTATTCAAATACACCGTAGTTACTATTTATTGTTCATCAGAGTAGAAACATAGCACTGTGAAGTGTACATGATAAGAAACAGTATTCAAATACACTTGAACAATAAATAGTACCTACTCAGAGTAGAAACATAGCACTGTGAAGTGTACATGATTAGAAACAGTATTCAAATACACTGTAGGTGCTATTCATCTTTGGTAGTAACTAATGAATTCAACTCCTTCCACCAAAAGGTTAACCCCCACATCTTTGGACTACACCTAATAACTTGGCCTGTCTGAACAACAAAGTTAGGTTCATGGTTGTTCCTTGCTTTTGCCATATATTTAATTTCAGTCATTAATTACATTTTGTAATCTAAGCATCACATAAATTGTACTTTTCATCTAAAGTAGCTGTTTTTGGATTCTTTATTAATATACATATTAAAATTTACATAATATCCTTTATCCTTCACACGGTATTGTTTGTATTAAATATGGTCACTGTTGAAGTCACATTGAACACAGAGATTTCTGTTGCTCTTTAGAACACTGTTTAATTGTTTTTTCACTAAATCTTTCACCAGCTGGTAGTGAGCATATTTTCATCTTTACTCAGACATAATTCTTTTAGTTCCTACTGTTGTTTCCTAGTGTTCCTTTGCCACTTTTGGCAGCCAGTTAAAGATAGTGTTTTTGACAATGACATTTCTGCTAGACAGACACTGCTTGTTATAACCCTTTGAAATTTAGTGAGATCCTTCTGTTTACCCATTATCTTAGAGACTAACTGTAATATGACAACATTTTTGCATTTATTGTGTGATCAGTCTGTTTTTTGTGTTTGACAAATGTATTAAGTCTTAATAAGTGCCCAGTTGATGTGTAGATACTTGTACTTATAGCACAGTGGAAGTATTTGACTTTTATGTTTGTGTTTCAGAAGAAAGCCCACTATAGATACATGTAAGTATAGTGCAGTGGAAGTCTTTGACTTTTGTGTTTGTGTTTCAGAAGGAAGTCCACTGTAGATACATGTACTTATAGTACAGTGGAAGTATTTGACTTTTGTGTTTGTGTTTCAGAAGGAAGCCCACTCAAGCTGACAAAAAAACACAAGAAACAACTTCATAACCTGGAAACAGCTCTTAATCCTGACATGCATAGAGTTGTGTCAACCATAGCAACTGGCTCAGGTATCCACAACTCTGGTGAGTTTTGAATCTAGAATTCTGTAAAAGCAACAAGTTTTTAGAAACACATCTAAGAACAGCCAGCTTTATATCAATGCACAAGTTGTAGCATACAAGACAAACAAAAGGTTTTATTAAAAATATGCCTACAATAAATAAATAACTAGGATTTGCACAAGTCCCGAATCACATTTTGTCAAACACAAGTAAGTAAATGGCAAATAAATGTGAAAACCTGGAAGATATATCCTTTTTCTTAGCAGTAAAATAAAGATACAAAATCAACCGTACAAGAAGTAGGCTAAAGAATAAACATGAAGGATATGAAACAGTTATTGTTAATTTTATTTTTAACATCATAGTATCAATTTCTCTTTCATTATATAACTGGTTGTGTCCACTGAAGTTAAAAATTCTGGTTATTAATGTGATGCTTCAAGCTTGTTTTTGCAGCTTTCCTCCCTACTATTCCAGTGATGATAACACCAAAAGAGCTTTTGTTATGTGAAGTTCTGTTCATAATCCAAACTGAGTTCAGTTTAACAGAGACTGATGAAATTGTACTATTTTTTATATTATATAACATAGTACCCACTGAACTAATGAGTTTTCTTCAGAAGGGGTTTTTTCTTTTCTATTAGTTAACTGGAAAATTTGAATAACCATCTGCTGTTGAATGTTCTATAGAGTTAGTAATGATGCAGTAGGTTCTAGTGATAGACATAGCTTTGCAGACTTACAGAAATGAACCAGTTCTTTGTTGTACTTGACATATAGTTCATTCAGGTTGAGAATATTTTGCTCATAGTCTTTCTACCCTGTTTCAGCAGTCCTAACACTTTATTTTTTGGGTGCTTCCTGACATTTCTTTTGTAAAATCACAGAATACCTTCCCTTGCTTTGCACTCAGCCTGTTTTCTATTATCTCTGATAATCCAAGTAACCCAGATTGTGCTGCACATGATAGTTTGATACACCAATTTCTTTGAATTCCAAATGGAAAGAGCTTGAATCATTAGCTTCTCTGTACAAGAGCATGCACACAAATGGAATTTCTTCTTTAACATTCTTTTTACTTTTTCAACTTTTTCTGAGATTCCAACAAAATCTGATGCTCAACAGTATCAGTTTCCATTAGGGTTTCAAATGGTAGTTGTCTTCTCAATTTACTGCTGTTGTTTCAAGTTTAAGTTGTGCCTTTGCAGCAGCTTGCAATTTGGTCAGTTCTTCTGGAAAGTAAGGAATTATTAGTGTATGTTGTTAGATAGGCATTACTGGTTGAAGAATGGTGTCAAACAATGTGTTTTTGTATTACTTTACTTAATGTTTTTCACAGGTCTTTTCTGTTACACATTTGAAAACTTTCATTAATTTACTCATCTCTAAAGACAATATAGAATGGGAATATATCTTCAGGTATGTTATAAAAGAATTTTTTTCTGATTATTGAAAAAAAAGCTTGCTTCATTATATTGTTTCTTCATAAACAGGATGTAGGTAGTACACCAGGGTTATATATCACAATAATCAGTCAAGAGATTTTGACTTGTACTTGCTTGGCCAGGTTTCTGTATCACCACTGTGTAAAGTGTGTGTAAATAGATGGTGCAAGGGTTTGTACAGGTTGGTATTAGCTACGTGTTAATCTGTTTTGATCCCAATGAGACTGACTACTGACATAAGTAACTTTGGATTGTAGGGTAATGCACTACAACACTAACAAAAATTTGGTATTAATACAGTCCAGTTGGACTTTTGTGGAGTGATGTTGTGATTAATCCTGCTTTAGCAGCCAGAGCTTTGATTGTATTGTAGTAAGTGTTAAAGAAAGATACCAACATCTTTTTTATGTGAATAAAGGTTTTATTCTTTGTTTACACTTGTGCTTTTGTTTCTACAAACACAAATCTCCATACTGTGGACTTTTGATAGCCTGTTGGTAATAGTTTTACCTATGATTGCAACACCTTTGGCAATCCCAACATGTCATAAACAACAGTGTGTATAATATCACTGTGATTAGAAACTGCAGTGCCAGGTAACATAGTTCATAAGGAACACTCAAGCCAGGTTGATCCAGTCTGTGGACTTAGTATTGCATTCTGTACAGAGTTTCACTTCTGGAATTGCATTGGAAGCAACATCTTTGATTTTGTTGTGGACAGTGAGATCAGTTATTTCAACTGACAGTGTGTGGAATTGTGTCATCTTCTTTCCTTTTCTTTTTTGGACCAAACACCTCTTATCACAGATTAAAGTCACCTGTCTTCATCACTGACAACTTTTAGGCTTAACTTACTTTTGAACATCTTCCTATTGCACAGGCTACTAGAAACCCTAGAAGTACAGTTTTTCATTGTTGGAACTGGTAATTGAGAATTGAGCAGCAAATGCAAATTAATAATTTTTTTCAGTCAAATTTAAGTAAAAATGTACACTCTAGAGCTAAACAAATTCTCAGGATAATGTATCTCTGAGAAAGATGCCTCCCAAATAGTTAAAGAGCAACACTAACAAAGTTAGCTATGATCAACTAGTCTGTTCTACCATTTGGAATCAGTAATGAGTCTAAATCTGAGTCTATTTGGTTACCTATAGAGGAAGTGACAGTTTTTTTGTAACTAGCTCAGATAAGGTTTTCTGAGGGTGCAATTCATTAAATTATTTGCATTTCTAAATAAGGGCATATTTGAAATCCAGGACCTTGTTTAGCATTTTACCATACTGTATTAGACAGAAATGAAGACTTCCCTCAACCATCTCATGAGTATTATTATCAGGCTAGAAAGATTAGGTTTTTTTTGTTGTTGTTGCAGTATTATTATCAGGCTAGAAAGGTTAGGGTTTTTGTTGTTGTTGTTGTTTTTGCTTGGCCTAACAAAGAACATTTACATTCTTATAATTTTGTACAGAAGAAGCAGAGACATTAACCATATCATGAAAATAATTTTCAAGTTTCTACTTTAAAAGGTCAGAGATTTGGTTAAAGGTTAACATTGCAACTCTGTACCATTTTTAAGGTCCTCATGTAACAAGTTGTTTTCACAAATATTGATTTTTCTCTAAACTTTCAGCCCCAAGACCTGATTAGGCTAAAGATCATTATTATGTTTTTGTCTGGAAGAACACTGTAACAAGTTTCATGTAGTAGTATTTTAAATCCAACATGGGTGATTTGTCCTGGAAATATCCTGGTATCTGCTGATTAGCAACTCTCTCCAGAGATATAGCTTTGTGTGTGATGGATCAAATCTTTGTGTGTAAACTTGAAATTATAAATTTCCTAGATTTTTACAAATAAACGTTACTACCTAGTTTACTTTCAAATGTGTATGTATTGGTTATAAATGCCTTGAAAAGATTTGTTTTAGGAAAGTTCCAAATTTATATTTTTAATTTGTTCATCTCCAACACATCTATTTGCAATACACATCAAAAGAATAGTTTTATTATTTTATTTCAAAAATAACTGTAATGTTTTTCAAAATAAGAATTGAGTATTGAGTGAATAATTCTGATTGTAAGTAGTAAGTGTACACAAGAACTGAATGTTTAAACCCACTTATTAATCAATTATTGAATTTTGTTAAACAAACCTAAAAAGCATAAAAAGAAAATAAAGTATTTTGCAACCAGTAATGATGAATAATAATAATAATTATCTTTAGCAGAATGGTATTCTTTACTAATACATATATATCTGATTTAAAAAATATGCATTTTTAGGTTCTGGCAGATTCATTTGCCGTTCCCTAGCAACATGTGAAATGACTGAAGAAAGATACAGAGAGATGCTTCTCAAGCATAAGAGAAGAAAAATGGACAAAGAAGTAAGTCGTTTAAAAATATTTCCTAGGAAATTAAACAAAATATTTTCAATTCTTTTGTCATAAGGTTTTATCCCTAAGTAGATACATGGTATCTAGTTTGGATATTTGATGTCAATTAAAACTTTTTATTACTAATTAAAGTCCTCTTGTATGATAATTAGCTAGTCACTAATGTTTATGGACACTTTTCTTGAAAGAATCAGGCTTATTATTGTTTAATTAATGGCTATACCTCCTAAGTAACTTTCATTGATGCTGTTTCGGTTGGCCATACGTTTTATGTATTTGTTAAAATTACAAGGCATATTTAAGTTATGCACATTTGTTGTGACTTTTCATCATTATTTTTTCTTTCTTCCTTTTATATTTGAAAAAACAACCAAAAATATACACAAGGTGTTGACTGTGAAATGGGTGGCAACACTGCCTATTAGAGAAACACTTGTAAAAATATTTTGGTGACTATACAAAGACAACACAAGACTAATAAAATCACAGAATTCAGCTATTCCAGAATGTATTTTGGCAACTGGGACAAAGCTAGAATCTTCAACTCAAGACAGATTTTGGAAAACAACAAAAATAAAGGAACCTTGCTACATCAATACAACAAAACCTTTATTGAACAGAGACTCGGCCTAGAAATCAGCAAAATAAAGGAATCTTGCTACATCAATACAACAAAACCTTTATTGAACAGAGACTCGGCCTAGAAATCAGCAACTTATGACTACCATTGGTTGAATCCACACTCAGTCCATCCACCAATCAGGACCAGGAACAAACAACCAATCAAAACACATCCATCTAAATCCACATGGGTACTATATAAGGCCTGAAGTACCTAACACAAACTAACCTAAATACGAAAGGCAGAAGACTTGGGAAACATTTTTCTTTACACTTGATTGTAGATTGTAGAGTGACCAATATATTTTATACAACTGTTTCTCTAATAGGCTGTTACAACCCATTTCACAGTTAACTCACTATGAATACTCTGCCTAAACTATCCATCAAAGTGTACATAGGGTGGCTTTTGTAAATATAGATGGATATAAAATTTATTGTTCTAATATCATGAATAACTTATTTAAGGTTTAAGTATTCTAGTTTTCTAACATTTGATTATATATACACACCATATTCTATTATTCATCATTTACTATAATTAGTTTTTTATGTAATTCAGTTTTACTTGTATAGAATGTTCTAACAATCATGTAAAGGATACTGAGTGGTTTATATTGCTAGACTTTATATGTTATTTGTTTAAGTGAAAGCATATTCACGTAACTCGTAACTGTGTTGTTGTATCACAAGCTAGGACAGCTAAACCTTGAAACAAAAGGTAGATCAATAAAATTAAAGTTTCTGATTACAGAATAAGTTTATTTGTTAATTCTAATGGAAAGCATTGTTTTTTTTATTTTTTAATAGTTAACTGTTTGTTTAGCATGTTGCTTTTTTCCTTTAGATCATTATGGTGGAAATTAGCTTTCTTTTCATGTCTTTTAAAGGTTTAGACATTACAAACCAAATTAAAAAAAGATCATTAAAAATTAGATTGGTAAATCTAATTGCAAAAATATGAATGAGTCTATTAGATCACAAATATAAAGGAGTTGAGTAATGTTAACAAATAATAAGTTTTGTGATGTATTTCAGTAAATATGTAAAACATAGCTAGTACATCATTGAACGTTTAGATCACAAATAATTTCCTATTATAAATACTACTTTGATAAATATAAAGGAGTTGAGTACTGTTAACAAATAACAAGTTTTGTGATGTATTTCAGTAAATATCTAAAACAAAGCTAGTACATCATTGAACATTAACAGACATAAAAAGAAATAATGAAATCTAGAAATTACCATAGTAGAATAACCACATGAATTAATTAGTTAGATGTTTTAAGTACAAACATAGCTTCATTGTTTTTAATATTTGTAGAAATTTTATTGAAAGACTAGAACACCTCATTCTCCAATGTTGTTGATAATTTTACTCATATGTATTGCTGTAATAGTTTTTTCATCATAAAATCATGATAGTAGATGCTTAGATGACCATCGTTTGTAACTTGATGATGCTACATTTCATTAAATTGTAAAAACTTTTACACTTATAAACCTTTAGATGGCAGCACCCTCTATGTTAGTGGAGAAGCATTAATATTAAATTTTGTCACAGAGAGAAATGTAAATGGGTGCTTAAGGTATTTTAAAGCTACTTAAATCATTTGTAAAATGATAAGAAAAAGGTCTGAAATATAAAAAAATATTAAAGCATCCCTTTCTTGAGAACACTTATTTTTAAGTTTCGTAGTGAAAAGTGAGGGGTGGAATTCTCCAAAACTAGTATAAGCAAATGACACATGTTGATCAAAATATAGATTGAACTGGACCTCCCATGAACTTAGACTTCGATATTAAACACTTTTCAGAATACTAAGTTTATTTATTATATCTGCTATTATGTTGCTATATAATGTGAAGAACTGAATAGTGGCCAATGACACTTTTCCTTCACTTCACCTATCCAGTATGTAGGTTTTTTTTCATAGTGACTACAAAGCACATTCACACCAACAATATGTTTGATGTGTTTCTTTGTTTTATTTAGAAACATCCAGAGTTAGATGTTAGTAACATCAGTTTAGAAGGATTGATAGCAAGAACAAATATGACTCGTCGTCCAACGCCTAAACCACGTAAGTTATATTTTATAATAGCATGATAGTGAGAATTTACTGCAATTAAGTTTTATAAAAAAAATCATATCTAAATGTAGTTTAACATTTAGTCTAGAGTTTATAATTAATTAAATAAAACTGTGATGCTTTTAAGTTATTTGCTTAACATTTTGATAAAATTGCTCAATCAGTAAAAGGAGTAATAGGAACTTATTATTTTATTAAACAAGTACCATGGACATTCTATTATTTCTTATCTATCTTGTCAGAGATTTTATTGGACAACTGGTTTAATTGCCCAACAAAGTCTCCAAAAACTCGCAATAAAAAAAAACAAATTTAACATAGTAATTTATTTGATCAGATATAAATACATATGATATGAGTCTTTAAACAACAGAAACAAACATGGTATTGATTCATATTCTACTGTACACAATACAATATCATAGAAGAAGTTATTTCGTTATCTTCTGTGCCATTCCTTATAGTAATGTGACATTTCCAGGATAGATTTCCTTACAAGTATCAAATACTTAAATCTCTTATTGACAGTGGATTATCTCAGGTAATTAGGAGTTTCCTAATGCGCGCGTGTGTGTGTGAAATAACGAGACTGGACAAATTTAGTAAAAGTGAACATAATTGTTATTACATTCTTGTGCTGACAGAATAACAGTTGAATCCACACTTGGGATTGTTCAAATTGGCTTCACATAAGCAGAAAATAATTATTTCTTAATTCTTACTCGGAGCCTAAAGACGAAAGGCGGAAGACTTTCGAAACGTCGTCCTCAACATTTCTAAGTTTTTACAACAGGCAGTTACTGTCCATTTGATACTTAGATTCATTATGAATACTCTGCCTAAACAACCTATTAAAAACCTATCAAGATTTTGTTTCAATTTTAAATTTACTGTCGAAGAGTATACTTGAACAGACATGTTTATAAAACTTGTCTAAACTATTACTCAGTTACTGTGTAGAAAATACAACAAAAGAAGGGCTAAAAATGTTTCCAAAATTACAGTTGAGCAACATGTTAAGAAGAGAAGCAAGAACAGTGAAATATTAGAAAAAAAATCCAAAACACCTCGTTCTACTACCAGTGAATCTCAGGCTTTAGATAGTGCTGCTGGAAACAGCCAGGAGCCGATACCACAACCACCGGTTGTTACAGAGGCAAGTAACATTAAAGTGGAGAATAAAATTGCACCCGAGCAAGCAGAGGATGACGAAGATATGGATGTAGATATTGGAAGTGATGGGGAGGCACCTTTTGTTTTTCCTGCAAGGTAATAAACAATTGAGCATTCATTTGGTTAAATGTTAGCTTGAATTAAATGACCCATTATGCCATGCCCTGGGGTATCCCATAAACGGTACTCCCTGGAGCGTGTCGTTAGTTTTCCTTGGCACTCAAGGAACAATAGTTGCCAAATCCAAGGCACTCGGGAGAAAATCCTTGGTAATCACAAATGAAATAAATAACAACAATTGATGAAGAAGCATGATTGAATTTTAACGAAAGCTAACTATATTTATAAGGATCGTGATCTTTATTATCAATACTTTTGTTTAAACATGTAGAAGTTCCCACTTTCATTCATAAAGATCATGATTACAAGTTTCATGTTGATCATGATTTGTTTTTAATTTATAATGTTTATTTAAATGATCAGGAAGTCTTATTTTGTTATTAATGATTGAAATTGTTATTTATAACATAAGAAATATTTGTAATGGAAGCATTCTATAAATGTTTTTAATGGCTTAGATGATGACATTTGTTATAACGAAACATTAATAAAAATTTTAGAAGATAAAAGGATTACAAGTTTTCTGTTAAAAATTCAAGTGAAACTTACTTTCTTATTGATCTGTGTATTTTGATGGTTTTAATGTTAGATTCACATGTATACTTTGAAATTACCCGTATATTATAAAGTATGAAACGTCTTGATATTTATCTACCCAACTATTCTTGTAAGACAATATATAGCAAGTATGTCATAATTTTAGATCATGCTAAATAAAACATGACTCCTGTTATGTTCCCACTTGTCTTGAAAATTGTTTGTAGAGAAAAGTAGAAATATCAAATCATGTTTAAATGTTAATAATATAATACTAGCAAACAACATCTGACATAGATTTTTTTTATAGAATGTTTAGTACAGTGATATCCTGGAAAAACAGGATATCAGTGTTCAATTTATGGTGAACTTGTATAAAGTTAACTGGTTTTATTAGAACAGTGAATAGTTATCCAGTTAAGATGCCAATGATTTTGTGAGTATTTTTGATTATAATGTATCCTTAACCTAGTAATTATGTGTGGTCACTTGTAATGGTAACTCGAATTAGAAAAGTACATGCAACGGACAAGTTTAAAGAAAGTTTTCATTTTGTGTTACTTAGTCAGTTTATTCTTTTAAAGCTCCTGTTCTAACTTGTTGAACTAGCCAGTACAACCTGTTGTTGTTTTTTCAGAGCATCCACCCCTGAACAAGAAGGAAATCTACCAGTTTCTTTTTTTTCACTCTTAAGAGATTTGTTTCTCTCAACACCAGAGATGAAGATGTCAGCTGTGAAGGTTGGTTCAAACTCTTTCTATTTTAAACATTACAGAAAGGTCTAGAGGAATATGTTTCACTGTGACTAGCTAGCCTTGTAAATCTCCAGTCATCAAGTGGAGTCATAGTTTAATTGTTTCACTGTTACTAGCTAGCCTTGTAAATCTCCAGTCATCAAGTGGAGTCATAGTTTAATGTTTCATTATGGCTGGCTAGTCTTGACAATATCCAGTCATCAAGAGGGGGTCAGAGTGTAATGCTTCATTGTGACTGGCTAGCCTTGACAATATCCACTCATGAAGTGGAGTCGTAGACTAATGTTTGATTGTGACTAGCTTTCCTTGACAATATCCACTTATTAAGTGGAGTCATAGACTAATGTTTCACTGTTACTGGCTAGTCTTGACAATCTCCAGTCATCAAGTGGAGTCGTAGACTAATGTTTGATTGTGACTAGCTTTCCTTGACAATATCCACTTATTAAGTGGAGTCATAGACTAATGTTTCACTGTTACTGGCTAGCCTTGACAATATCCAGTCATCAAGAGGGGGTCAGAGTGTAATGCTTCATTGTGACTGGCTAGCCTTGATAATATCCAGTTATCAAGAGGGGTCAGAGTGTAATGCTTCATTGTGACTGGCTAACCTTGACAATATCCACTTATCAAGTGGAGTCATAGACTAATGTTCCACTGTTACTGGCTAACCTTGACAATATCCACTTATCAAGTGGAGTCATAGACTAATGTTTCACTGTTACTGGCTAGCCTTGACAATCTCCAGTCATCAAGTGTAGTCATAGACTAATGTTTCACTGTGACTAGTTTGCCTCCAACTATAGGTGCTCTGTACTTAAGATAAGCTAAATTTGTCACATAATTTATTTAAAAGAAATTTTCTCAGCACTTACCAGAAAATTTATTTTAAGAATTTTGTAAAATATGGTAATAATGAAATACCTAAAAAATAATAATTAGTTTATTTTGAACTCTTGAAATAACGTACCAGTGAAACTCCATCAATTTTTAAACAGTTTTATAATTTGTTATGCCCCAAATTGGTTGTGGCTCGATAAATTTCTTGGTTACAGGATTCCTAGTAATGTATGAATCTCACAGACATAGGAAAAAGAAATTTAACAATCTATATTGTAGTTAATAGTTAAACCAGTGTTGAGATCTTCTGTGTAATGAGTAACTTCTCCAGATCAAGTAAGTTCTTTACACTGAATGTTATAACAGGAACAACATAAAACTACTTAGTATTATGCTACAATGTATATGTGAACCTCAGTGTAATTAATACTAGAAAAAGGTTTGTCATATGAGGGTTAATAAAATATGAAGTTCTTAATTATCAAAGTCTCGTACTTCATTTATTCAAAAGCAGGATGTAAAGATTTTTTTTAAATAATTTCTGTATTGATGGTTACTTTATTATATAGAATTTACTCTTTAAGTTTTACATACAGTATTATTCACTGGAATAGGAAACAAGAGTATAAACCATTGAGATTTTGTGTTTCATTTATTATTAACCTCATATTTTGTTTAAAAGAAACAGTAAGATTGAGTGAAAAAAGTAATTTTTATGTAAAATATATGATTCTGAACTTTTTATTACTTGCGTATTCTGCTGGGTAATGTTGGCTTTCATTTTTGTAGCTTGAAGAACGAGTAAGAATGTGGTTAGAAAGTCCTGTTGTTGTTGGCTGTGACTGGCTAGGAGGTCATGATAACTGGACAGAACTGGTTAGCTCAGCACTGAAGTACTTAGCTGGAGATCTAATAGGTAAGTTTAAAGTTTTGCAGTCAGTGTTTCTGATTTGATATATTATCATAAAGTAGTGTTCTCATAGGTCCTTAATACTGGGAATAATATACAGATTTATAACTTTCTTCCTGGGATTGGAAAGCCCTAAGCTTTATTTCAATGGTGTAAAACTGAGAAAAAATAAAAATTGTGGAAGCTACAAACAAATAATGGACAAATAAGAAGTGATATTTTAAATGTGTATTGGTTGGTCACTTGACCTCAACAAATTTTCTTTACCCACAGTTGAATTGGTGAGTAAACATGTAAATAATTGGTTTATTTCATGTACAAAAATTAAATTAATCTTTAATAGTAAAATTGAAACAAAAACTGTAGTTCGTATGGTATAGTTTTCAAAAATTATTGTCAGATTTAATCATCCTTGTAATATGACTTTTTTTCCTGAATTTCTATACTTGTTTTACTTGAATATTTGTTCTTTATTTTGACTGTATTTTATTGTGGTTTATATAAAACGATTTGGTAGGTTTTATTCTACTTCTTGCCATAGCAAATATAAAAATGGAAATGTATCGAGCACTGGCAAACTTGTTCTAGAACCTGTTGGATAAAGCCTCGGCAAACATTTTGTACCTGATAGTTCACAGTTTTCTTCACCTTGTAACTACCAAGGATACTATTTACCATTAATCTTAGTCTCACAGTCCTTTGACTCATTAACATAAAGACCCTTTTAGTGACATTGGCCAGAAATTGGTCAGTGTCTGGTAGGTTCAAACCTTTGACCAGTAGTTAACCTTCCTCCCGGTCATTCTGATTGTGACCTGATCTTTAATTGTTTTGAAACTACTGTTTTATATTTTATTGATTTTTAAAACACTGTATTGACTTACTTCCTGTTTGGTAATAGTGATTATGTTGGTAGTACACGTGTAACATAGTACCTTTCATGCATAATGATTATGTTGATAGCACACATGTAACATAGTACCTTTCGTACATAATTATTATGTTGGTAGTACACGTGTAACATAATACCTTTCATATATAATGATTATGTTGATACTACACATGTAACATAATACCTTTCATGCATAATGATTATGTTGATAGCACACATGTAACATAGTACCTTTCGTACATAATTATTATGTTGATAGCACATGTGTAACATAGTACCTTTCATACATAATGATTATGTTGATACTACACACATGTAACATAATACCTTTCATGCATAATGATTATGTTGATAACACACATGTAACATAGTACCTTTCACACATAATGATTATGTTGGTAGTACACGTGTAACATAATACCTTTCATGCATAATGATTATGTTGATAACACACATGTAACATAATACCTTTCATGCATAATGATTATGTTGATAACACACATGTAACATAGTACCTTTCACACATAATTATTATGTTGATAGCACATGTGTAACATAGTACCTTTCGTACATAATTTTTATGTTGATACTACACATGTAACATACTAACTTTCATGCATAATGATTATTTTGGCTAGCACACAATGTAACAGTACCTTTCATGCATAATGATTATGTTGGATAGCACACATGTAACATAGTACCTTTCATGCATAATTATTATGTTGATAGCACATGTGTAACATAGTACCTTTCGTACATAATTTTTATGTTGATACTACACATGTAACATACTAACTTTCATACATAATTAAGGATGGTCTCGTGAAATGACAAACCAAAAAAAAATAGTTATTAAAGACATGCTAAGTTGATGAAATGATCATGCAAATTTTCAAATAA